GTTTACTCTTCGACCAGAAATGATGGTGTTTTAGACTTAATTTTTACTAATGGCACCTTCCCTTTATCTATAGATTTCTATCATGACCTTTTTGCAAGTGATCATGCATTAATCCATTGTCGCCTTCCAGTTGCCATTTCCGCAGAGCCAACAATACAACGTAGTATTTTTGACTTTGCTAATGTTAAAAAGGAATTAGTAAATAACTTTACATGCACTCTTGATTGGCACAATATTTCTTAAAATAATGATATAATTTTTTTCAACAATGTATTACAATGCCTAACAGAAAGTCTTCTTGATCGTATTCCTCGGAAGATATTCAAATCGGGTGCTAATTTCACCGCTGTCCCACACTGTCTTAAAAAAAGACTTAAAAAGTTACGGAAGCAGTTTAAAGATCCTTCTGTGAGCTCACTATCAGTTCATCTAAGAATCATTGAAATATTTGAACTAGCTTCGAAAATGGGGCTCGCGCGAGATAGGCGTAGAGAGTCTTTAGCTATTAATGACGTGAATGCTTCTGAATCAGTTGCTCAGATCTTCCGTCAAAGATCATCTGCTGAGTCCCACCAAGTTATTCCGCCTTTGCTTAGTACTAGCGACGCCTTCATTACAGAGGAGTCAGGCAAAGCAGAAATTTTAAATTCGTTCTTTGCCAAACATTTCACCATTGAAACTGACACAATCCCTTTAATTTCTCCTTTGTCTGATGCTTCTCTTAGCATCATTAATTTTTCTCCTGAATGTATTCAAAAACTGATAAGCCATCTTCCTAACTCTCACTCAGTAGATACGGACAATATCCCAAACTCTTATAAAACAGCTAAGAGATTTTCCTCCTCTACTTAGCAAAATCTTTTCAGTATTTCTCGTAAACGGCTTCTTCCCTGACTATTGGAAAACTTCTATTATTATTCCAGTATTTAAGTCTGGCTCTCGTTCTGACGTACAGAACTATCGAGGTGTCCATAAAATACCCTCTCTGGCCAAAATCTTTGAAAAAATTATCGCCGTAAAAATTACCGAATTTTGCATAGCTAATTAAGTTATTAGCCCTTCCCAGCATGGTTTCTTACCAGATCGCTCTTGTAAAACATGTCATCTGTCGCTTCTCAGTCTACTTACCTCTCTTCGTAATGACCATCTATCTGTTGTCGTTATTAATTTTGATCTCAATAAAGCCTTTGATAAAGTACCACATAAAAGACTCTTGGTTAAATTAGAAGCTATGGGAATTAGCAGTTCACTTATAGACTTTCTCAGGTCATACCTGTCTAATCGTAAACAAAAGGTTTTGGTGGGATCTTCACTTTCCAGTGAAAGCCCTATTGTAAGTGGTGTCTTACAAGGTAAAGTTTTAGGTTCTCTTTTGTTCTTGCTTTTCATAAATGATATTTCGGCAGCAGTTAAACATTCTCAATCATTTATTTATGCCGATGATCTCAAATGTGTATATTCTTTCTACAAATCTACGAGCCTTCATTGCCTGGAGGAAATCATGCTGACTTGCTTGCTCTCTCAGCTTGGAGCTCAAAATGGCTAATGGAATTCTCTCCGTCTAAATGTCGCTATATGTGTTTTGAACCTAATAGGCTACCCCAACCTGTGGTCTTTCAAGGCACACCTATGATTGAATGTACCACCATCAAGGATTTAGGTTTAAGCTACACTAGTAATCTTGATCTCTCGCCAAACGCTGACAGAATTACAGCCAAGGCTGTCCAGATTTGTGGCTTTATTTCTTAAAATTTCTATATTCCTGAAACTAAATTAAGGCTCTATCGTATGTTTGTACTTCCCATTCTCGAGTATTTTTGCCCATTCTTTGGTTTGATGAATGAAGCCAGTCGTGTAAAAATTGAAAATGTCCAAAGAGGTTTTTCTAAAAAAAAACTTTTGGATAAGGAACATCCCAATATCTCATACTCAGATAGATGCCAGCTAATTAACCTAAACATTTTTATGGGTTCGAAGACTAGAAGCGGGCTTCTGTCTCCTCTTTCGCATTAATCATAGTTCAAATTTTCCTCGGATTTAAACACTTACCCCTAGTAGTCGCCCATACAGTCTACGCAACTCGCCCTTGATTATACCTCCTCCAGCGTCCTCCACCTCTAGGCGCACCCATTTTTTCGCTTCCAGATATACTTTCCTCTGGAATAGCCTCCCAATAAATATAAGATCTTCGGAAAATCTACACACATTTAAGAGAAGGCTACGTCCTTATCTGAATACAGACTCGATAAAACTTTTATTTTCCTCATCCTTTCCAGACAACGTTTTCTATGACACCGAAAAAGGGCCACCGGGAATTTAGTATGCCGCCATTAAATTTCCGTATCTGTTCACATTTCCCTCCTTTGTCACTAGTCTCGCTTCCAAAGATCCCTCACCAGAAATGTTAATTTTTCCAATTTTTCAGTTCATGCATCGTGCCGTCACAGAATGCGCTCCATCGATGCTCTTGGCGAAACCTTCTGTATTCGCCATATACTAGTAGTCTGGTCGCATCTCCCTTGCCCCATCCTCGGGTGGACTCGCATGAATGTAACCGACCGCATCTGGGTTCCTATCGCCTCGAGACTGGTTTTCAATTTCGCCACTTATTTGCCTTATTCAAGGCCCCATACAGGAAAGTCCTGACCGACCCGCCTACTTACCCCTTCATGAAATCCGTTATACAATGCAACGTACAGCTGACATTTATTTTGGCCCTGTTGATGTCCGACTGTAATCCATTCTATACCGCCACATGCAGGCCAGTCCTGCCCGCATTTGTCTGATTCTATTTTTTCGAGGGATTTTTGTTCTCCTGTAAAATTAATCCAATCATTTTTAAATTTTCAAATGGCGTTTTTTTCACCCCTTGCTTATCATTTTTCTTAACGGACTTCTAATCTCAAAAAACAATGTATTGCATTTGTTCATCTTTTGTCTACCTCGTCTAAAATTCGCATTTAAATTTATTTTTACTTGCTTTGATGGGGCCCCGACGGGTCTTTAATAAAAATAATTAAATCAAATTAAATTTGCTATGGCGAATACAGATGGTTCCGCCAAGAGCGTCGATAGATCGCCTTCTGTGCGGTGCACGATACATGAACCGAAAAATCGAAAAAATTAACATTTCTGGCGAGGGATCCTAGCAAGCGATACTACAAACAAAAGAAGGAAATGTGGGCAGATACGTGAGTTTAATAGCGGCGCCCTAAATTTCCGACGGCTCTTTCTCAGTGTCACAGAGAAAGTTGTCCGGGAATGATGAGGAAAATAAAAGGTAGATCGATTCAGTATTCCGATAAGCGCGCAGCCTTCTCTTAAAAGTGTGTAGATTATCTGAAGATCTTATATTTATTGGAAGGCTATTCTAGAGGAAAGTATATCTGGAAGCGAAAAATAGAGAACACTTAGAGGTGGAGGAAGCTGGAGGAGGTATAATCAAGGAAGGGTTACGAAGATTGCATGTGCGACTTCTAGGGGTAAGGGCTGAAATCCGAGGAACATTTGAACTATTATTAATGCGAAAGAGGAGGCAGAAGCCTGCTTCTAGTAATCGAACCCATAAAAAGTTTAGGTTAACAGCTGGCATTTATCTGAGTAGGAGATATTGGTATGTTCCCTATCTAAAAGTCTTTTTAGAAAAACGTCTTTGGACATTTTCAATTTTCCAACGACGAGCGTCGTTCATCAAACCAAAGAATGGGCAACAATGCTCGAGCATGGAAAGTACAAACATTCGCTAGACTCTTAATTTGATTTCAGGAATATAGAATTGTAAGAAATAAAGCCAAAAATCTGGGCAGCATTGGCTGTAATTCTGTCAGCGTGTGGAACGAGATCAAGATTATTTGTGTAGATTAAACTTAAATTTTTGATGGTTGTACATCCAGTCATAGGTGTGCCTCGAAAGACCACTGGTTGGGGTGTGGCGGTCAAGGATGTGAGGTCAAATTAAACCACGCACATTAAGTTCGTTTCGTCTAACGACAGAAGTCAGGGAGCTGTGAGGACTAGTTTATTCTGTACATAGGGCAGGTTGCCGTAAGTTGGCTGTTTGCTTGCAACAGAGTTGAGCGTCCGTTCACGGAGAGCGTCAGTCGCGGTGTGTCGTTTACGCCGGGGATGAAAGTCTGTGCCAGTAGGTGGAGGCGACTGATGGAGCGCTGGTCATGAGATTGGACGGATTAGGGGAGGATTAGTGGAAGCGTAATTACTGGGGTTCACGGGAATCAAGCCAGGTCGTCCGAGGCGCATGAGGTGATAATAGATTGTGGGGAAGCTGGGGTCACTGCAGCTGGACAGGAGGGACCCCAGTTCTAGCCGGCGGGGGTGGTTGTGTGTCAGTGGCCTGGCAACGATTGTCACGGCCATCGACCGACAAAACGGAGCCGGAGAAAAGGAGAACTGGAGCGGCTGCTACAAACTGTATGCACCGTATTTCCTCTGTCAACTGCTTAAGTCCGACGAACAAAATTATGCAAAAACTTGTTACACAAGGCCTACCTCTGGAGATCCAGTACTAGGCAGCGGAGAATTTATTTGTTCGTCCGTTTGCGCACGAGCTGCAGCACGTTGTTACAGAAAAGTAAACACTTTTAAGAACTGCTCAACACAGCACTGACCCACCGTCACTGAAATTCTGGATGAAGCTGCGAATTTTCGTAAGACATTAAGATTTTCTCTAGAAGTCGTGTCTGATTAGTGAGTAACTGCAGGAGATTGTCAAAAACAGCTAACGTAAACCTGGGCCTTGTTGAGTTTTGCAAAATATTTTCTGCCGCTGGTAGTACGTACCGTTTAGCTGCAAGTACCTAGTTTACACTGACAATTACTTTCGAAAAGGCATGACTTTTGCGTTTTTGTGGATTTGATACTAAGACTCCAATGAGTTCTAGAATCGTTGGGATCCCAGATAAATCTTGCAACGTCTAGGGGTTTGAAGCTTCAATACTTGTTTAAATGAACCAAATCGGGTCGCACAGCGGTTTTGAAGCAGCATGGGTGAGCATGTCTGGTGTTTTCTTCTCGCGATTGTTCCTCGGCCGTCTGCGCTGGCCGCAACAAAGAGTCTTATTGTTTTGCAAATTCACTTTCCTTAAGCGTCAATACTAGAAACTTCTGTGGTCAGCAGACTTAGACGTAATTAATTACATAGAGCCTGAGATCGCCTCGATTTCTGTGAAACGTGTTTAAGCCGTGTCACGCCTATAAATGTTGTATCCATTCCGTCATCCAAAACCACTGCGTTAAAAGTCTGTCATTAAAAGAGCTGACCCGATCCTGGTTTCCAGGCACATATTCTACTTCGTTCGGTGCTACGAGCTTTGCATGCCCCTAAATGGTCTGTCGATTTGCTTTGTACAATGTATCCTCATGTGCCCTGAGTTGCGTTTAAGGCCGCATTGTCACGTCTATTTTCCATTGTAGGCATTGCTCGGGATAGGATTCATAAGCGCAGCAAAACCGGCGGGCGTCGTGAACGTAATCGCAAGAAGAGGAAGTTCGAGTTGGGTCGGCCGGCCGCCATGACCAAGCTTGGGCCAAGGCGTATACGGACGGTGCGTGTCCGTGGTGGCAATCTCAAGTATAGAGCTATGCGCCTAGATCAAGGCAACTTCAGCTGGCCCTCCCAAGCAATCTCTCGGAAAACGCGTATAATTGATGTTGTGTACAACGCATCCAACAATGAGTTGGTACGTACAAAGACATTAGTCAAGAACGCTATCGTGCAAATCGATGCTGCACCCTTTCGCCAGTGGTACGAGGCTCACTATTTAAAGGAACTTGGTCGCCACCAGCCCAAACCTGGCAAACAGGCACAACACACCACCGAGAACCCAGAAGACGACGTTCTCCTCAAAAAGCGCAGCGAATCTGTTATGAAGAAGTATGAAGCCCGCCAGAAATTGCCTATAGCCAACGTCCCGGAGCCCCTGAAAGACGAATTCATGTCAGGTCGCCTTCTGGGTAAGAAAACGTTCTGTCTTACGCGTTTCTTTCTAGCTTGCATCGCCTCCCGACCAGGCCAGGTTGGCCGCGCTGATGGATACATTCTAGAGGGCAAGGAGCTGGAGTTCTATTCGAGGAAATTGAAGGCTAGGAAGGCTAAGTAAAAATAAAAGTTCTTGAAGGGCTTCCTTTCTTCTATGGCCTGACTATGCAACCCTTAATATAGTCCTAGGTCATAGCTCCCGAACTGCCTGTCTTTTCGGGTTTAATACCTAGGTATACCAAAACCAGTCCACCCTTTGCCTTTGGGAAAGAGTGCGATGGGACATTTTCAGTCACTAGTAGAACTTGTGGGAAATGATCGTTGCATTGTCTACTTACGAATATATTCATTAAAACCTGAAGCAGTGTGCCAGTCACTGCTGTTGGCCGCATACCGTTTGACGCAGTGTCGAGGGCTCTTATAGGTTGGACAGCTCTGGGCTACAATGTGGGCATTGCAGGAAAGTTGTCACCGCCACGTGAGATTATATTGGCTGAGGCGGCCGACACTACCATCTCCTCGCTTGGTGGACTATCAAGTAGCATCTGTTGTTTATCCCGCAGCATATTTTAACAGTAGCCTGGTGACTGAAGGAGGTAAGGGTCTGCCTGTCTAACCGGGCTTCCGACAATTGCGTATCGCTCCGTTTTAAAACAGTTAGTATTAGTGCATATCGTTTCAACACCAATTCCGGTCTATGCGGGCTCGTGTTGCCTTTTCTTGTGCGCCGTGTGTTGCGGTCGTCGCGTGTTCCAAGTTCTCTTGGACGTCGGCGCTTGCACGTGTTCTGGAGCGGGAACGTCTGAACTACCTTCTGTTTCCTGCTTTATTTAATATGTAAGCGAAACCCTAAAACACGCGGACGTGAAGCGCTTACGGTCTCAGCCGTTTTAATTCTCACCCTGGCAGCGTCGGCGGTACTCCGTTGCCTTCTTACAGACTTGTCCTATTCTTTTGCGAATTTTGGCAAATACCTGTGTTTGACTTGTGTTACAGATTCGGATTAAACATGCTCCCATTATACGAAGGTCTAGGAAAATGCCATGGCGCCGGGTGAGGTACCATGCCTACCACGACGGCGAGACTGCCACGTTGGTGGAGATTCATGTAGCTGCTTGGACTTCGTGTCACCAACTACAGGTTGGCCTGTAATAGTCCCTTACGTGCGCCGTTCATGCCTGAAGCTAGTGCCTACGGCGGAAAAGAGGTGCAGATTCTCGTTTCTCGTAGCTGCTTTCTAGACTGGTATTACTGCCGAGTTAGCCACTGGTAATCGTGCGCTACGGAGAACCGAAGGTCAGAGACGCAGCTCGACTTCCGTCCGACGCACCGGAAGCTTGTTTTTAGTAACAGTCACACATGCCATTGTAAACTTGTTCGGTCTTCAGAGCAGGGCTCTGTTGTCCGGAACCCATTTACTGCCTGTCAAGATCAGAGGTCCACGAATTGTGCAGATTGTCTTCGTCGCCCGGTTGTCCAGACACGTTGGGTAACGTCTTCCTATGCTGATGATTCCCATGGGTTTTTACTGCCACTGTGCAACTAAGTAATAAAGCATTTGCGCGGTCTGTGAGCGGGTTGTACCGCGACAATTGCTGCAAGCTTTTCTGCCTACTTTAAGCCCCTAAATGGGGTCGCGAATGGTTGCAGTATTTGTTCCAGTGAGCCGATCCACTGGAGCAATGCTGGGTTATCTTGGTTCCGCATGGTTGGAGAGAGTTGATGTCAGCATGAAATCTTACTCTCGGTTACCGGTTGGGCGTTGTTGATTGCGTGCATGTGCGGGTAACCCGTGAGTGCCTTACATTGCAAATCGGCCGCTACAGCGTCTGAGCAGGGAAGTGGTCTGGTTCTGTGTAGCGCTGCTAGCACGCACTTCGCGTTTTAGCTTGCCAGGTATTTCGTGGCGTTTTGGAAGCTGCATTTTTTCGAACAAAGATTTTGACTTCGGTCACTGTTTGCGCCGGCATGGTGTGGACGGCTTTGCTTCCAGGAATCTTTTGATCTGGCAGGCTTGATAGAGTTGCCGTAACTGAAAGTCTGGGTTTCTTTAAATTTCCGCCCAGGCGCAGTTCCCAACGTTAATTTCGTTGGCCTGTGTAACAGTGACAGAGTGCTCCGCAGTTTGTTTAGCCTGTCTCCTGCACACTCATCTACTTTGGTATATCGTACACACTTGCTATGTTCTGCATTGAATGACCAATTTCGGCATATGCCATCTGCATCTGGGTACATAATTGGCTCATGCGTCGTCGTCACATGTGTCTGTCATCCCGACTGCGGGTACATCCACAGTATGGCAGTTCATGGAGGCAGATACCAATTCATTTGCTTAGTCCATCACTTTGTCTATATCATGATGAAAAGTAACAGTCCTGTGCGTTGTGCACTGCCACATGCGTTGCAATGACAGGGAACGGTCGATTTGGTCTAACGTCGGTGCCCGTCGTTCATGTCTTTAGGATTTGCTACTGTTCGGGCGTACGTGTCGATTGGTTTTATAGGCAGTAAGATTGCAGGTGACACCAGAACCCTTGTCCGGTCGTCAGCTAAGTCTTACCAAACGCCCGTGTCTGAGCATTCTGGATGCGTTATGCGTCATTCCCCAAAGCTGGTGATCGCTGAGTCCCAGGCTATGAACGCGTTTGCGGTAGCTGGCCAGCCAGTAGCAAATGTGAACTAGCGGCCCGCATCGGCGTCGAGTTAACAAGGTGCTTCGCTGTATGAAGCCTCCCCTATCTCTACTAGCTGGTACCTGGATGTGGTTACGACGGTCGAGTTACGGCCTCTGTCGTGGCCACCGCAGTTCTGCTTTCATGCTTTGCATTTCGACCATCTGTGGGTGAGAGAGGGACCCCTTACAAAAGGCTGACCGTCGCTGCAGGTGGTGTATTCGAGGTCGTTAATTTGTCCTTGCTCGAGGCACCGACTTCTGCTTAGCCTGACATTGTTCGCCGATCCTGGCAACTCATGCCACGGACTGCCCTCCTCGGAGGGTAGATCGTGTGTCTATCTGAAGAGACGAGCGGTCCTGGCTGTCACAGTGGTCGAAGCCACTGTTGGTGCGGGGAAAGTAAAAAGGATTTTCTATTTTTCGTAATGTTTTGACTGCAGTAGTGGTCCGCGGCAGATGTGGCCAGCTGCGTTTTGTCTATGCGACAACATCTTAGGGCTCATTTTCTTATTCAAGCCTCGTGCAAACAAGCAATGCGTTGTCGAGCAGAGCAACGTGGACACTCATGCCCCCAAAAGTCTCTAAGGCTGGCATTTTTTCCTAGAGCAGATCTGGATTAACATGGGCCACTTGGGGGATTGCATCGCGACTTTATTGTATAACTTGGGGTGGTTGGCAGAGTAACTTGCGTACTACCCGTCTTCTCTTTTCCGCATTACATTTGCGACACGTGAATAGCGTAGCAGATGTGAAATGTACTGGCCCTAGTGTTGCAAAATAATCCTCACGGGCAACAGTGTAGTGCTGATACACCTGACCAGGAACATTTTGATGTAGCCGACTTAATAGGCGGCCTGCTCAGAATAGTGACTGTCGCAGCTCAGAGGTGGATCGCCACTCATCCCTGGGTATCAGCTCTCGCACTATCATCCACTGAAGCATGTCCGCAGGTAAAGTCGGGATGTCCTCGGGTGTCGGGGCATTCAAATTAAGGGACATTGTGACTTTCTGGATTCGTACATTGTTTTCTGAGTTGATACATTCGGCAGTCCTCTTATTAACGGATAGGTACCCCCAAAAGGACCCTCTGCCGGGCAGACAGGAGTAGAAAAGACCTCAAAAATAGGGATTGTGGCCATGCGAAGTCGTCCAAACGTTCATATTAAGGATAAGTTTAGGAGCGGTCATTCGTGAGTAAATCGGCCGGTCCAACCCGCTTTGTTTGTATCATTTTAAGAGTGGGGAGGGGGGGGGGCAAAGGGTCAGGTGTGGCGGTACGTCTAGGTGGGTTCTTTTACCGAGCCGGCCGCCAGCGTCTTCCTCTGCTTTGGTCATCTTGACTTGCATGACGCCGAACTCAGGTGGGGGAGGAGATTGCAGTAGCTGCTGAGCAAGTCCTACTACTACTACTACTACTACTACTACTACTACTACTACTACTACTACTACTACTACTACTACTACTACTACTACTACTACTACCACTACTACTATCACCATTACTACTATATGCGAGTCCACGCGCAAGTCACCGTCCCTGCTTTGAAGCACATGGCGGAAAGCGTCGGAAACGTCGGCCCAGTGGTTATCCAGGCGTCTGCTATACAAGTGGTGGGTGAATGTGTTACGTGCGTCCACAGAGAATTCCTCTGTTGAATGGCTGCGGGAATGAAGGAGCGACGTTGATTAGTGTGGGAGTCCCTCTTTGATGTGGCGACCGTATGGCCAGAGCGTCGTCTTCAGTGCCATTTCGGAAAGATTGTCCCAGTCCACTCATTAACCAACTAGTCACCACAAGGTCATCTTGCTCCCGTCAATGGGGAAGGGAAAGAGGTCCAAGGCAGTCGAGCGCTGTTCGCATGTCAAATTCTCGAATTCAGAATCAACCTTCGTAGGTTGCATTGTACACAATCAAGAGTACCTCTGTCTTTCCGAAACCACAACCGTCAAGCCGGCAACACATTCCATTCGGCGGAGGGCTAACTTGTGTTCGTTAATGCGAGTTCCAAGACATCGGCCTGTATGGCCAATATAAACACAAGGGCAGTTGGCACACGGTATGCGGTAGATGACGTTAGTTAGTTGTTCTTTGGGCACCGGGTCCTTTACTCGGCATAATGTCTCGCGTAGGGAAGATGCGGGCTTATGGGCAATGGATATGCCAAAGCGTTTTAGTGCCGGGAGAGTGCTTCAGAGATTCCCTGAATGTACGGCAGTGAATAGAATTCCTGCGACGCTCTATCTTCATGAGGCTCGGGGTTTGGTAGTTGTCTCTGGCGTCTGAGACAGTTCTTTACAAAGCTGGCAGGATATCCGTTGGAGCGGAACAACCGATGTAAGTAGGTCAATTCTTTCTTAAGTGCGTCATCACTGTTGCAGATGCGATAGACCCTATGGAAAAGAGTGCGGACACAGCTTCGTTTATGGGCCGCAGGATGATTACTCCCATAGTTAAGTATGATTTCGGCACTGGAGTCATTTCTGTGGACGCTTGTCGCTAGTTTGCCATCACTGAGTCTTTGTATGCTCACATCCACAGGAAAATTTACGAGGCAACTCAATTTTCCGACGAGCCTTCACTTTCTCATTATATCATCTCGGAATGCACACCACATCAGTTATTCAACATATTTCTGGGCGCCAAACGCTTATCCTTACCAGACGTTGGGAGAAATTTGCACAGAGGCAGGCGACGATTTACGAACAGTTAACTTTTCTCCACCGCTGTCGCGATCATGGTGTCCTACCTAAGTCCCTCCGATTCAAGCCCACCCTACCCAATGAGACCGGAAGACAACTTGCGCGCATGTATGGATTTCGTGTTTTGAGTGCCGTTATATCCGACGTCCACCATCGTCTTTGCCGCTTTGAAGCAACTATTTCTGACCTTAGAAGCCGATGCGTCTCGTGCTTACCTGAGAACGTCATTTCAGAAATACTTCACCGAATAAACGCCACCACCAAAGACGCCAGAATGAAGAAACGGGCCGACCTGCAAAAGAAACTACAATCTCTTTTGTGCACGGCCAGCGAGAACCGAACGTCTACGAAGGTTGTTAATCTTTCGAAAAGAGACCTATCTTCTACTGAAATAAGCCTCCTGTCTAAGGGGATAAGATTCAGTCACACCGATGCTGCACCTACGGACTTCGTAGCCAAACTTGAATCCCCCCTTCTGACCTCAGACGTCCCTGATGACATGTGTGCGGACATTCGCAGTTGCGCCACTGGTCTCCTTCGACAAAGGAAACATCATCAAACCCTACCGACCGAAGAGAAAAAGGCGTTGCGATCGCTAAAGACAGAGGACAAAATAGTTATTATGTCTGCTGACAAAGGAGGAGCAACCGTTATCATGGATAAGGTTGATTACGTCAACAAGGCAAACCAAATCTTCGATGACAGGGAGGCCTATGCACCACTCGCTGCAGACCCAACGAAAAAGCAAGCCGCGACTATCAAGAAGAAAGTGAATGAGCTTGCCCGATTGGAGCTCATAAGCCCCGATGACAGCAGATCTATGACCCTCAATGACCCCCGTATCGCACGTGCGTACGGCCTTCCGAAGGTGCACAAGACAGATGCGCCGCTGAGGATCATTGTGCCACTTATTGGATCCCCTACTTACAACCTTGCCAAGTGGTTATACAGACACATAAAGCACCTCGCAAAAGGATCGCAATACAGCATCAAAAATTCTCAGGCTTTCCTACAAAAGATCCAAGGCCTTGAAGTAAGTAAGCGACAGAATATCGGTGAAACACGTGTCTGGGCTTTTAGCAAGTATCTATGTCGGGAGTACGGTATAATACATTTACCATATGCAATTCATACTACTCGTAGTACTACTTGTTTGTAGAATGGGCATTACGTGGTTATTCCACAGTAGTTGATTGTCTTCGACTCAAATGTTCATTGAAATTTCGGTTCTGACCCTAAAAAATCATGTCCCGGTGATTTAACTCCAAGTCCTGCACTGATTAATTTCTGAAATTATTCACCTGATTATTCTCTGGAGCTCATATACCAGAAACCGCTAGAGAATGCTGGGGGTCCCACTGAAGAGCCGAACCCCTCGCAGCTGTGTCACGCAGCGGCAGAATATCGGCGAAACACGTGTCTGGGCTTTTAGCAAGTATCTATGTTCGTGACCTTGGCCACACATACTGACGGTGCCTTGGTTCACAACTTGTCCTCTCATCGTTTCGCTCAGCAACAACTTGCGGTTCTATCCTATGACGCGAAGTTCAACACAAGAGATGCTCGACCAGAAGACTTTATTGCATCCTTTGAATCGGCGCTCCAGAAGTGTGAGGCAGGCGAGGAATGCAAAAACGCCATGCGACAACAAGTGTCGACCTTACTCCTCCAACACAAACGTCAGATGACGATTTCTAAAGCAGAAGATCGAGAAATTCTGAAGATACGAAAAATGAAGGATATCGTCACCCTGCCCGCCGACAAGGGGCGCTCGACTGTCGTCATGGATAAGGCTGAGTACTGCACAAAACTAGGCAACCTCTTGATGGACAAGGGAGCTTATGTGCCATCGACCGTCAGCGAGTTTAAAAAGCTCGTAAACAGCATAAACAATACGATCGGCAAGCTGAGGAAGGCGGGAGCTCTTACGAGAAGGGAGGCGTTGGCCGCAAAAGCCAGTGATACCGCGATGGCGCGCTTCTACGGCCTACCAAAGGTCCACAAGCAGGGGGTGCCGCTACGCCCCATCGTCTCCTTACGTGGTACTCCAACCTTTGGGCTGTCAAAGTGGCTGTACCAACGACTTTGTTTCCTTACCAAGGATTCGGAGTGGACAGTGAAGTCGGCTGAAGAGTTCTTGAGGCGCATCAAACATCTCGAAGTGGAGGCAGATGAGGTGATGGTGTCATTTGACGTGATCTCATTATTCACCTTCATCCCACCCGCGCTGGCTATCGACACTATTGATGGCTTTCTCCGGGAAAGGTATGATGAAACCGACCAACAGCTCAAACGAGCACACATCATCGAGCTCCTAGAACTGTGTCTTAAGACCTTCTTTACATTCAGCGGCCAAGTCTACGAGCAAATTAAAGGGGACACCGATGGGCTCGCCTCTCTCTGGACTAATTGCCGAAGCAGTTTTGCAGAGACTCGCGCAGCAGGTCTTCAGCTCGTACCCCCCGAAGTTCTGGGCCAGATACGTCGACGACACGTTCGTTGTAATCAAGAGGAGCGAGGTGAAGGCTTTCAAGGCATTGTTGAACTCCATCTTTCCCGATATTCAGTTTACTATGGAAGAGGAAGTCAACGATCAGTTGCCCTTCCTGGACGTACAAGTTACGAGATTGACAGACGGGAAGATAAGGACAACGGTTTACCGTAAGGCAACAAATACCAGGCGCATCCTCCACTTCCGAAGCAACCACCCTGTTGGTCATAAACGCAGTTGTGTCAGAACTCTCTTTCAGCGTGTTCAAACACACTGTAGCGACGACAGTGGGAGGAAGGAGGAGATGAATTACTTACAGGGCCTTTTTAAAGCCAACGGCTACCCGAAGTCCTTCATACGCAATTGCCTCAAAAAGCCTCATTTTGAGCGGTCGAGTGGAGAAAAGCCCAAGTTCTGGCTCTCAATACCCTATGTGAAGAAAGTATCAGAGGCAACGGCAAGAATCCTAAAATCTTTTGGGATTGGCGTGGCTCATAAACCAGAATGCACCATCAGACAGCAAATCATGAAGCCCAAAGACCCGCTACCAACAACAGAACAGTCGGCGGTGGTCTACAGCATACCATGCCTAAATTGCAATGCGAGATGTGTTGGTGAAACGGGCAAACGCCTCAGTACAAGATTGCACGAACACTAACTTGCAATCAACCGCAAGGACAAGCTGTCTTTGGTCTATGGCCACATAAGAGAACTGAACCACGATTTTGCCTTTGAGAAAGCGAGGGTAATTGGCAAAGCCAATGAGAAGATGGCCAGACTGGTGCTCGAAAGTTGGTCCACGGCTGGTACACTCAACTGAGCTATAGATCTACATCCCGCCTACCAGGCGCTGCGTACAAGGCTCGGATCGGTCCGGAAAGGACCAGTAAGGCAAGCGAGCACGCGGGACCGAGAGTCAACGCTCACGGAAAAGAGCGGAATTGGGGGCCAGAGGTCATGTGAACAAAGCCGAACACTGCCTCACCGATGCGCCCGCGAAGCTGAATGCTGCTCACCTGAACAGCAACGACCGATCAGTCCACCGGCTGACGTGGGAGAGGCCAAGCGGCACGTTGATTTGACCACAATTACGCCGACCCCAAAGGGAACAAAGGTCACGCAGGCCTGTCAGCGGTCAACCCCGGGGAGGTCTAAGCCAGTCAGCGGCAAACAGGCAGGTCAAAGTTCGTGCGTCCAGCACGGCTATAATACGAGGCAAGCGGCAAGACTGAACAACTCAAGACCGGAAAGTGCAAAAATTACGCTACTCTGATGGTGGAAACGAGGAAGTTTCCGAAACGTCAGTTCGAATACAATATGATCCATGAATTCGCCCTCTCTTCTTCTTCGTCTTCTTCGGGAGATGATGAACGCGATGCAATGTCTGGACCTCGAATCTTTACGCATATCGATATATATATATATATATATATATATATATATAT